TTAGTATGTCACCCTCTGAAGAGAGCCATGGTGTCACAGCTCACAGCAACCTCAAACTCTTGGGCTTAAGCGATTCTCTTGCCTCAGTCTCCCAAGTAACTGGGACTATAGGTGCCCACCAGAATGCCTGGCTATTTTTTTGTTGTTGTAGTTGTCTTGTTGTTTAGCTGGCCCAGGCTAGGTTTGAACCCGCCAGCCTGGGTGTATGTGAGCGGTACCCTACCCACTGAGCTATGGGCACTGCCTGACATTTTAAAATCTTTATATAACATTTTTGGCTTCTGACATGTCCTTAACCAATTTGAAATTGTTTTCCCTAAAATATTGAAAAAGATAAGGGTCACAATTTGTAGAAATATTTGATCATTCTAATGTTTATCTGGGTCGTTGAATAAATATAAAAAAACAAAAATTTCTAGTTTTTTTTTTTAAGCTTACTATTGAATCTTTTCATTGAAAAAACAATTTTCTCCACCCAGTTACCAAATACTTAAAAGAAATTTGGCTTTGGGAGGCCAAGGTGGGAGGATTGCTTGAGGCCAGGAGTTTGAGACCCGCTTGAGTAAGAGTGCGACCTGTTTCTACACAAAATCAAAAAATTAGCCAAGTAGTGGCACGTGCCTATAGTCTCAACTACTTGGGAGGCTGGAGAATTGCTTGAGCCCAGGAGTTTGAGGTTGCTATTATGAGCTATGATAATACCACTGCACTCTAGCTCAGGTGACAGTGAGACCCTGTTGGGAAACCCTGTTTCAAAATAATAGTAATAACAATAAACTTTGGGGTGAATAACAAGAAAACTAATAAGTAAAGTTAAATGACATGACATCTCTTTGTAATAACTAATTTAAAAGACTTCACTTAATATTTAATTGAATGAACTACAAATTTTAACTTGAAGATGTACCTTCATGAGGCTGTACAAACAGTAAAAGACATTATCAATGAAAAGAATTTTTTGAAATTACTATTAATTTTGGTGATCTATAAACTTTATTCTAGAGAATATTTTTTTATCAGCACTCTTAAAATATATACAAATTGATGAATTTTGTTAATGTTTTTATTATCTCTAGATCTGTGTGCTGTGTTTTACTAAGCTATTTAGATAAGGAATAAGGAACAAAATTTGAGGAAAAGATTAAGGTTGATGGTATTGTTGTTAATTCAGAAGGTTGGGTATGGCCAATTATGATAGGATGATTGTGAGTATACTTGATGCTACCATTGCTTTTCTGAATCTCAAGACAAGTTTGTCACTGACTTTTAAGAATGCTAGAAAAGGCTGGGTGCAGTGGCTCATGCCAGTAATCCTAGAACTCTGGGAGACCAAGGGAGGTGGATCCCTTGAGCTCCAGAGTTGGAGATCAGCCTAAGCAAGAGCAAGATCCTGTCCACTAGAAATAGAAAAACTACCTGTGTGTTGTGATTGGCACTGCTAGGGAAGCTGAGGCAAGAGGATTGCTTGAGCCCAAGAGTTTGAGGTTGCTGTGAGCTAGGATACCACAGCACTCTACGCAGGGTACAGAGTAAGACCCTGTCTCAAAAAAATAAAAAAAAAAAGAATGCTGGGGAAAAAAAGAAACCTTTCCTGTTACATATTGAGTTCTGTGGTAGTGTTTATTATATATATATATATATTTGTATATAATATATAAATTTATATTTTTTATTTATTTTTGAGACAGACTCTCACTGTGTTACCTAGGCTAGAGTGCCAAGATGTCAACCTAGCTCACACCAACCTCAGAATCCTGGGTTCCAGCCTCAAACTCCTTAGTAGCTGGGACTACAAGTGCCTGCCATAACGCCTAGGCTAATTTTCTATTTTTAGTAGTGATGGGATCTTGTTCTTGCTCAGGCTGATCTCAAACTCCTAAGCTCGAGGGATCTTCCTGCCTTGGCCTCCCAGAGTGTTAGGATTATAGGTGTGAGTCGCCATGCCTTGCATAGAGATAAATTTTTTTAACATTATTTATGCATTATTTATTTGCCTATCCTGGACTTGAAGTAGTGTCCTATTGACATTGGAATAGTCTTTTTAAAGTTGGGATTTATTATATTGGATACATTTACAATTTTCACAGTTGTCTTATACATTCTTATTAACCTTATAGTAATTCTGTGAGTTATCCTCATTTTACAGATTAAGAAACTGATTTAAAGAAATTAAGTGATGGAGCCTATGTGCAAACCAAGTCCAGTATTATTTCAGTAACCTCACAGTTGCTCCTGTCTTCATGCAGTTTGTATAAAAGATAAACCACTTCACACAGCAAGTGTATTTAAACAGCAAATAGAAAATATAATTAGGTAATAACCTAGACTATTACTTTTTAATACACTATAGCATACTGTTTAAGAGTAACTTTTACTTTTTTGTTTCTAGTAACTTTTAGGTAGGTTTTAAAAATAACCTATTAATGTGAATGTTTCTGCAAAGATAGATTTTAATGGTTTGCGTCTCTTTCTCTTGCTCTCTGTTTCTTTTTTAATGAATATAATAGGTCAGAAATATGAATGTGCCAAGAGATGGAATGTACACTGTGTGACCACACAGTGGTTTTTTGACAGTGTTGAGAAGGGTTTTTGTCAGGATGAATCCATATACAAGACCGAGCCAAGACCAACAACCAAGACTATGCCTGATACTTCAACTCCTACTGGACTCACCAACATGATTGATAGTAAGTCTTACTAAGATTAAAATAAACCATTATTTTTGTATATAAGAATTTTTTTTTTGTAAAATATTATGAAGGTTCAAAAGTTTTTTTTTTGTTGTTGTTGTTGCAGTTTGGCCAGGCCTGGGTTCGAACCCACCACCCTTGGTATATGGGGCTGGCACCCTACTCACTGAGTCACAGGCACCACCCCAAGGTTCAAAAGTTTTTGTTACTTGGATGTACTCTATAATGCTGAAGTTAAGGTTTTCAGTGTGTCCACCATCAGGACAGTGCCCACTGTCCCTGATAGGAAAGTTTTTACCCTCCCATACTCTACCCTTTGGAGAGAGCATCCATCTTTTCTTTATGTCTTTTTGTGCTCATCTGCATCCATCGTTTAGTTCCCACCTGTTAGAACATGCAGTGTTTGTTTTTCCCTTCCTGAGGTACTTCACATTAGACAGTGATCTCAAGTTCCATCCAAGTTGCTGTGAATGATACTGTTTCATTCCTTTTTATGGATGAGTAATACTCCATGGGGTGTGTGTGCATGTAAATACACCACATTTTCCCTGTTCTCTCATCCATCGATGAGTACTTAGGTTGATTTCCTATGTTTACATTTGTGAATTGTGCTGCAGTAAGCATTTGAGTGCAGGTATCTTTTTGATAAAATGATTTCTTTTCCTTTGCATAGATACCCAGTAGCGGGATTGCTGGATCAAATAGTAGGTCTATGTTTAGCTCTTTGAGGAATCTCCATAATGTTTTCCATAAAGATTGCACTACTGGGTGGCACCTGTGTCTCAAAGGAGTAGGGCCTGGCCCCATATGCTGGAGGTGGTGGGTTCAAACCCAGCCCCGGCCATAAACTACAAAAAAAAAAAAAAAAAAAAAAGTTTGCACTAATTTGTAGTCCTACCAATAGTGTATTAGGGTACCTTCTCTCTACAGCCACACCAGCATGTGTTGTTTTTGACTTTTTAATAATGGCCATTCTGACAGGAGGAAGATGGTATCTCATTGTGGTTTTAATTTGTATTTCCATGATGATTAATGATACTGAATAGTTCTTCATGTCTGTTGGCCATTTTGTATTCTTTTGAAAAAATTCTGTTCCTGTCTTTTGCCCCCTTTTTGATGGGATTATTTGTTTTTTCTTGCTATTTTGTTTGAGTTCTTTGTAGATTCTGGAAATTAGTCTTTTGTTTGATATGTAGTTTGTGGTTATTTTTTCCCAATCTGTAGATCACCTGTTTATTCTGTTAATTATTTCCTTTGCTGTGCAGAAGCTTTTTAATTTAATTAAGTGCCATGTATTTGTTTTCGTTGCTGGCTATATTTGCCTTTGGGTTTTTAGTCATAAATTCTTTGCCAACACCTCTGTCTGGAAGAGTTTTTCTTATGTTGTCTTTTGGAATTTTTAGGGTTTTATATCTTTCATTTAAGTCTTTAATTCATCTTGAGTTGATTTTTGTGTATGGCGAGAGATGCAGGTCCTGTTTCTTTCTTCTGCATTTGACTATCCACTTTTCCCAGCACCATTTATTGAGTAAGGGCTACTGTCTCCAGTATGTTATTATCTACTTTGAAGTCAGGTAACGTGATCCCTCCAGATATATTTTTTGCTTAAGATTGGTTTGGCTAATTTAGGGTTTTTGTGGGTTCCAAATGAAGCTTAGGGTTACTTTTTCTAGATCTGTGAAGTAAGACATTGGTATTTTGATAGGAATTGCATTGAATGCGCATATAACTTTGGGCAGAATCAACATTGTTAAAATTGTTAAAATGTTGATTCTGACAGTCAATGAGCATGGGATGTTTCTCAATTTATGTTATCTATGATTTCTTTCATGAGTGTTTTGTAGTTCTCATAGAGATCTTTTACTTCCCTAGTTAAATACTATATTCCTAAGTATTCTATTTTCCTTGTAGCTATTACAATTGGTATTGAGTCCTTGATTTGACTCTCAGCTTGTCTGTTATTAGTATGTAGAAATGCTATTGATTTGAATGTACCCTGAGACTTTGCTGAATTTGTTTACCAACAAATTCTAGGTCTCTTTTGGTGGAGTCTTGAGGGTTTTCTAGATATAGGATCATATTGTCAGCAAACAAGGATAGTTCAGCCTCTTTCCCTACTTAGATGTCCTTTATGTCTCTTGTTTGAGTGCTATGGCTAGCAGTCTTTTGACTTTTCTGATTTGGTGTAATATTTGGCTGTGGGTTTGTCATATATGGCTTCTATAATTGTGAAGCATGCTTCTTCCATTTCTCATTTAGAGATTTCATCATGAAAGGATGTTGGGTTTTATCGGATGCTTTCTTCATCTATTAAGATGATTATATGGTTTTTGCTTTTCCTTCTGTTTATGTAGTGAATCTCATTTGTTGATTTGCATACAGTAGAACCCCCACAGTTGACCACCTCCTTAAGTTGACTTACTTTTCATAGTTTAGAGATGCCCCACGTGGATGTATCAGTACAGTAGGCCTATGGAAGTGTTGAGCAGTTTGTTACAGTCCTTTGGGTGGACAACTTAGAGCTGTTCAACTGTGTATTGAACCACCCTTGCATCCTTTGGATGAAACCCACTGGATTGTGGAGTTATCTTTTTGATATGCAGCTGAATTCAGTTTGCTGGTATCTTGTTGACGACTTTTGTGTCAATGTTCATAAGGAATATTGGGCTATCGTTTTCTTTATCTTTTGTATCCTTTACTGGCTTCTCAGTATCACAGAATAGTTTCTGTAAGTTAGGTACCAAGGTTTTTGTAGGTTTGGTAGATTTGGCTGTGAATCCATCTGGTCTGGGGCTTTTTTTTTGTTTGGAGATAATTATTAGTCTCCTGCTAGTTATTAGTCTGTTTCGGATTTCTGTTTCTTCCTGATCAGGCTTGGAAGGTTGTGTGTTTCTAGGAATTTTTCATTTCCTGTAGGTTTTCTAGGTTGTGTGTAGAGAGATTTTTGTAGTACTTATGGATAAAATTTTTACTTCTGTGGTATCAGTTGTAATGCCTCCCTTTTCATTTCTGATTGAAGTTATTTAAATCCTTTCTCTTCTGTTTCTGGCTAATCTGGCTAGTGGTCTATCAATTTCGTTTATCTTTTCAAAGAACCGGCTTTTTGTCTCATTGATTTTTTGGGGGGGCCGGGGCTGGGCTTGAACCCGGCACCCCACTCCCTGAGCCACAGGCGCCTCCCTGTCTCATTGATTTTTATATTGTTATTATGGTTTCCATTTCATTTAGTTCTGCTCTGAGCTTTTATTTCTTTTCTTCTCCTGGTTTTGGGTTTCCTTTGTTCTTCTTTTCCTAGTTCCTTGAGATGTGATGTAAGGCTGATACATTGTGATCTGTCTTTTTGATGTAAGCCTTTGAGGCTGTGAATTTTCCCCTTAGTGTTGCCTTTTCTGTATCCCATCAATTTTTTTTGATCTTTTTTTCCTTTTATTAAGCCATATACACATAGATCATGGATATATTTATGCTTTTGTGGGGTCCAATGTGTTGGGTTTTGGAATGGTTATATCAAACTAATTAATATAGCTTTCACCTCATTTGCTTACTGTGTTAAGACATTTATGTTCTATACTTGGTAAATTTGATTCGTATCCTTACAATAGGCTCCATAGGTGTGGTCCCACCATTTACCCTCCCTCTATCCAGCATACTTCCTCCCCTCCCCTCCCCCTCTACTTCTCTCCTTCATCCTAGCTATAGTTGTGATCTATCGTTCATAAGAAAATGTAATTATAAATTTGTTTCATAAAAGTATTGAGTACATTGGTTACTTTTTCTTCCATTCTTAAGATACTTTACTAAGAAGAATATTTTCCAGCTCCATCCATGTAAACATAAAAGAGGTAAAATCTCCATCTTTTTTAAGGCTGCATAGTATTCCATGGTATACATAAACCACAATTTATTAATCCATTCATGGGTCAGTGGGCACTTGGGGTTCTTCCAAGACTTGGCAATTATGAATTGAGCTGCAGTGAATAATCTGGTGCAAATATCTTTGTTATAAAATGATTTTTGGTCTTCTGGATATACACCTAGTAGAGGAATTGTAGTATCAAATGGCAGGTCTACTTTTAGATCCCTGAGTGTTCTCCAAACTTCTTTCCAAAAGGAACGTATTAGCTAGCACTCCCACCAGCAGTGCAGAAGTGTTCCCTTTTCTCCATATCCACGCCAGCATCTATAGTTTTGGGATTTTGTTATGTGGGCTATTCTAATTGGAGTTAGATAATATCACTTTGATTTGCATTTCTCTGATGATTAAAGATGATGAGCATTTTTTTCATGTGTCTGTAGGCTGTGTGCCTGTCTTCTTTAGAGAAGCTTCTGTTCAAGTCTCTTGCCCACAATGAAATGGGATCCCTTGTTCTTTTCTTATTAATAAATTTGAGTTCTCTGTGGATTCTATTATCAAACCTTTGTCAGAAATGTAACCTGCAAATACCCTCTCTCATTCTGAGGGCTGTCTACTTGCTTTACTTACTGTGTTATTGGTTGTGCAGAAGCTTTTTAGTTTGATCAGGTCCCAGTAATGTATTTTTGGTATAGCTTCAATTGCCGGGGGAGGTCTTTCTCATAAAATGTTCTCCCAGGCCAGTTTCTTCAAGTGTTTCTCCTGCACTATCTCTAAGTATCTTTATAGTTTCATGTCTTAAATTTAAGTCTTTTATCCAGTGAGAGTCAATTTTTGTTACAGGTGAAAGGTTTGGGTCTAGTTTCAGTCTTCTACAAGTCACCAGCCAGTTCGACCAGCACCATTTGTTAAATAGGGAATCTTTCCCCCAATTTATATTTTTAATAGGCTTATCAAAGATTAAATGGTGATAAGTATCTGGGTTCATCTCTTGGTTCTCAATTCTGTTCCATATATCTATCTTTCTGTTTTTGTGCCAGTACCATGCTGTTTTAATCACTATGGATTTATAGTATAGTCTGAAGTCTGGTAGCATGATTCCTCCTGATTTGTTTTTATTTCTGAATAATGTCTTGACTACTTGAAGTTTTTTCTGTTTCCATATAAAATGAAGTACTCATTTTTCCAGATCTTTAAAGTATGACAGAGGTGCTTTAATAGGGATTGCATTAAATTTGTAGATTGCTTTGAGTAGCTCATGCTACTGTTCATTTCTTTATGTAGCTGTGATAGAATTTGTTCTATGAGTCTGGGAGCTACTGTGTTAGGTACATATATATTTAGGATTGTTATGCCTTCTTCTTGAATTGCCCTCTTTATCATTATTTAATGACCATCTTTGTCTGTTTTTACCACTGTTGATTTAAAGTCAGGTGTATCTGATAAGAGAATGGCTATACCAGCTTGCTCTTTGTTTCTATTTTCTTGGAATAGTTTTGTCCGTCCTTTTACCTTGAGTCTGTGTGCAAACTTGTGGTTTTCTTGGAGACTACATATACTTCGGTAGTGTTTTTTTTTCATCTTGCTGTGTTTTAATTGGAGCATTGTGATCACTCACATTCAATGTTATGTGGGGGTACTGTTCTCTTCATAATGTTGAATAATACTTTGTTTTGTTTTTCCTCTTGTGTTAATGTTTTTATAAGAGTCATGAGCTTTCATTTTGGGTTATTATGCTGTGTCACATAATTTAGTATTTAGTATTTCCTGTAGGGCAGGTCTAGTAGTGACAGATTCTCTTAGTGTTTGTTTGTCTGGAAAAGTCTTTATTTCTCCATCATTTATGAAACTTGGTTTTGCAGGATACAAATTTCTTGGCTGACAGTTGTTCTGTTTAAGATGGTTAAAAATGTGACCCCCAATTCCTTCTTGCTTATAAAGTCTCTGCTGAGAAGTCCACTGTTAACCTGATGGGCTTTCCTTTGTAAGTTAGTTATTGCTTTCACCTTGAAGCTTGGAATTTTTTCCTGCATTTTAATTTTGGCCAGGTTGATGATGAGGTATCTTGGAGATATCCTGCTTGCTATGAATCTTCCTGGTGTTCAATGACTATCTTACATCTGGATATCTGAAGCACTGGTGGTACTAGGGAAGTTGTCCTCAATGATTTCCTTGAACAAATTTTCCATGGCTTTTGCTTTTTCTTCTCCCTCAGGGATACCTATAATTTGTATATTGTTTTGCTTTTCATAGTCTCATATTTCTCTGTGTAATTGTTCATTATTCTTTATTCCTTTTTTTGTATCTTTGACTGAATGGGATAGTTTGAAAGGCTTGCCTTCAGGCTCTGAAATTCTTTCTTCTGCTTGATCTAGTCTGCTGTTGAAGCAGTATTTTGAAGCTATATCCTTTCTTATGTTGTTTGTCTCTTAAGCAACTTTTTCATTTTTTAAATTCATGCTTTGGAATTTTTAGGGGTTTTTTTTGTTGGCATTCAACTTTCTGCTTAGTTTCATCTATCTTCTTTGCCATCCATATTCTGAATTTTATTTCTGACATCTTAACAATTTCCTTTTGGTTGGGTGCATTGCTGTAGGTCTGTCTATTGTGATTATTTGTTTCTCTCTCTCTTTCTTTCTTTCTTTTTTTTTTGTAAAAGGCAAAAGATTCATTTTATTTGAAGAGAAACCAGAGTATTTATTTTGGGGTGTTGAATTAGCTTGTCTTTTCATGTTGCCAGAGTTCTTTTGTTGTTTTCTTCTCATCTGAACCTCTTCTCTGGGTTCAGGGCAGTTAGGTTTGTAGTTCTCCTTTGCTGGGAATTCTTCCTAGTTCATGAAAGGAAAGAGAGAGGTCCCCAGGTAGTAAATACTTTTGTCTTCTCTCCTAGAAGACTGATCTGGTAGGAGAGGGGTGGATGCACTGCCATTTTGCCTTGTAGCTTTTATACATTGGCCTGTTTCCCCCTGGTTGTCACAGTTGAAGCTGGTGCTGGAGCATCCTCACATGGAGTGGTTGGTTTGTAGGCTGCTGTTGGAAGCTCTGGTAGGGGGCTGAGTGAGTCCCTCTCTATGGAGGCAGGTGTTGCTGAACATTGCACTGCCTAGGTGTCCCTATAGCAATGACAGTGGCTGCTTGGCAAGGTTACTGGGGCAATAGTTGTAAGTGTCAGGGCTGTGGGCCTTCACTCCACCCAAGTCTAGATATAATATTGGTATGTAGTGGCTGGGGGCTCCATGATGGAGATCTGGACCATAGACATGGTGCCACAGTGCACCAGGGCATAGCCTGCCAGTTGGCGCACAGAGCTGGGAGGCATAACCTACCACCAATGTGCAGGTCCATCTTGGGGTGTGTGGGCCTCCACATGGCATGAGGGTTCGCTGCAGTGGTCCTAGTGCATGGGGTTGGGGGCTTGTTCTGCTGGTAGGTTGGCGGAGTCATGTGAACTGGGCTGCTGGATAGTTGAGGCTTTCCCTTGCATAGGTCCCAGTGGGACTGCTACTGTGGGATCTCTTAAGTGGTGCCACTCTATTCAAATTCCTGATGGAGCAGGGGCATTTGGCTCCCATTCACTGGCTTGCAAGAGTGTCTTCTCTCCTTGCTTCCTCTCCAGCCCACCAAGGTGTGATGTGGCAGCAGCTGCAGTGAAGCCATCCCTGTGGTTTGGACCCAAGATCTCAGAGTGGTATCAGTGGCGGCAGCCTAGGAACAGAGGCCAGTGGGTCCCTGCTGAGTCTGCCCTCTGAGGCAGCTCTGCAATACAGTCTCCAGGCAGTTCCCTAATCAGCCTGGAGGCTTACAGTGGTAGTGGCAGCCCCCCACAGCTCCAGTCACAGTGTCCATGTGGAGAGCTTGAGGCTCAGGGGCTCTCTCCTTTATCCATTCCCCCCATGTAGGGGTTTCACCAGGTAACTTCCAACCTTGGTGAGTGGATTTCATACCTTTCTCCTTTACTTTGAGTATCTCCTGTCATCTCTCTGATGATCCACTGTGCTCTCTCCAAGAGGGTCCATCCCTAGGCAGTCATCTGCTTGCAAGTTTTGATCCTCTCTTGATAGCTGGGTGTATGGGCTGCTTCTAATCTGCCTTCTTGGGCCCTCCCCTATGTAAGAATTGGTACATTAAAAGCTTTTGATAGGGAATAGGAATTTCTTCTTTTCCTTAAAAAGAATAGGGAATTTCTTTTTTTCACTTTTTCCTTTTTTTTCATTATGCTTTTAGTCATAGTTATGTAAGATAGCCAAATTATAAAAAGTCCAGAACTGCTCCTGATATTCTTTTTAGAATGAACGATTGCTTCGTATAATGCAAGAGATGACTAAAGAAATTAAGAATGGATAGAGACTTAAAAGATTAGTCTTTTAAACTTTATTGATGTACAAATATGAATACATTTCATTACTGTTTAATTGCAGTTACTATATTATATGGTCTGTATTAGTAGAAAAATTAAAACAGTTACTATTTTAATAGGTGCCATTTGGCACAGTGTTATTAAAACTTTTTTTAGATGTGAATGTCTTAGACCTTATTAAAGCCAGCAATTTCAGATTTTTATGAGAAGCAAGCCACTAGTAAGAAAATGTACTAAATATATTTTCATTTAAATAACATTTGAGCCATAAATAATTTCATTTTCTTTTCTCATCCTTGCCTTTAAGATTTCAACAGTCACCTCACAATCTTTGGAAATTGTTCATAAGCCTTTATTCGTAAGAAACGTTAATTAGTAAAAATAGGTAATCACAATTATTTTATCTCCATACATTTACATCTTTTTTTAATGTAGGTCGTACTCTCACAGATGTCAGCCATATTTCTAACATAAATGCAAGTTGCGTAAGTGAAACAATATGTAATTCGGTTAATAGCAAATTGGAGCCTACACCTGAAAATCTAGAAAATCTGGACGTCAGTGCATTCCAAGCACCTGAAGATTTATTAGATGGTTGTCGGGTATGTCTTTATTATGTAATAAATGCAGTAAGTGATAATATACGTTCGCACTCCCCAGCCTGACTTTGAAGACCCTTCAGAATTGGGCTTGTCTCCTTATTGGCATAAACTCTCCACTCCAGCTAAACACACACACTCACTAGATCATGTCTATCTTTTGGCTGTGAGTGTCCCGTTGCCTGAGATGTACCTTCATCTGTTATCCTTCAGACTTCATTTTCTGAACTTTCACAAACACGTTAATCTTTCCATCTGCTGTATTTTGAGAGTACATCCACTTCATTTGGTTTTTACTTTTGCATATCATTTATTGTTTACAATGTATTAAACACCGTGCTAATCATTTTTATGTTATAATCTCAGTAAATTCTCACAAATAATTCTAAAATGGATATTATCTTGAGGCTAAGTCTTAGAGTTTTAAAAGTCTTTTTCAGTATCACACAGACATTAAGTGGCAAGGTATTCACTCCAGAGTCTGTATTCTTAACCATTAGAGCCACTGCTTTGTTTGGTATCTCTTGCATTACTTAATTTTTTAGTATCTTAATAGCTTTTGAATGTTTCTTGATGGAAACATCATATGCTTTACTTTTTTAGATCTCAAAGATCTGAATACTTATGATACTCCTATTTGTAGTACTAGGCTATGCATTAATTCTCACAGAGTAGCAAAAATTTTACCGTATTTTATTGTTATAAAGGGAAATTAGGCAAAGTAGCTTAGCATTCCATGCTTCTAAAACTTAACCAACATGTTGGCAAAACAGAAAGTTTTGTGTAATCCTTATCCTGGATGTACTGATTTTATATATGACAATTATTTTTTATGTAGAGGAAGTATAGATCCTTTTTTGTTAAAATATATTCTAGTAATGGAGGTGATTTAGTTTGGGATGTAAGTGCAGTTTGGAACAGATTGTCATTCTTCAATTTTTTTAAAGGCACGTTATCTAAAATAAAGGTGAAAAAGGTATTTATATTACTAAATTAGTTTAAATATATACATTTTGGTAGTTAAAAATAAATTGAAATGAATTATTGCGTACATGTTATCCTCAAAGCATCATGTTTGGTTCTTTGGCTTTGTTTCTTTGTTCAATTAACTGTGAAAAAGATACTTGAATATGTAGGTAATGGTTTGAAGAGCTTAAGCAGCTTGCTCATGGTTATGTGGTTAATCATTGGCAGCTGAAAATAAGGATTTAAACCCAAGTTTTAAAAATTCTGATAGTTAACTACAGCTTCTTTTTTTTTTTTTTTTTTGAGACAGAGTCTCACTCTGTAGCCTTGGAGTTGAGTGCCATGACATCATAATGTTTGAGCAACCTCAAACTCCTGGGCTGAAACGATTCTCTTGCCTCAGCCTCCCAAGTAGCTAGGACAATAGGGAGCCTGCCACAATGCCCGACTTTTTTTTTTTTTTTTTTTAAAGAGACAGGGTCTTACTCAAGCTGGTCTTGAACTCCTGAGCTCAGGCAGTCTACCCACCTCTGCCTCCCAGAGTGCTAGGATTATAGATGTGAGCCACTGCACCCGACTTGCTTATTTCTATAACTACTTTAAAATATTCTCAAAATTTAAAAAGTTACCTGTATTTTAGGGCCAGGTGCAGTGGCTCACACCTATAATCCTAGCACTCTGGGATGCCAAGGCAGGTGGATTATCTTGAGCTCATAGGTTCGAGACCAGCCTGTACCAGAGTGAGACCCCCGTCTCTAAAAGATAGCTGGGCATTGTGCCAGGCGCCTGTACTTGGGAGGCTGAGGCCAGAGAATCGCTTGAGCCCAACAGTCTGAGGTTGCTGTGAGCTATGACACCATGGTATTCTACTGGGGTGACAAAGTGAGACTCTGTCTCTGTCTCAAATAAATAAATAAATACCTGTATTTTAGAAATTGCTATGCACTAATATTTGTAAGATGTTGGATTTTGGCTTCTGTTTCATTTATAACATCCAAATATTTATCAGGTATCCACTGTGGAAAATTATGCTATGTATGAGATTATAAAGAAATGATTTATAAAAATAGAAGTTTCAGAATATTTGAAAAGTTGGAAGTTTCAGAGTATATATATATATATATTTTTTGAGACAGAGTCTCACTGTGTCGCCCTCAGTAGAGTGCCATGGTGTCACAGCTTACAGCAACCTCAAACTCTTGGGCTTAAGCGATTCTCTTGCCTCAGCCTTCCAAGTAGCTAGAACTACAGGCACCCACCACAACACCCGGCTATTTTTTTGTTGCAGTTGTCATTATAGTTTAGCAGCCTGGGCCAGGTTCCCTGCTTCGGTGTATATCGCCAGTGCCCTAACCACTGAACTATGGGCGCTAAGCATGTATTTATTTATATATCGTAAAATGTATATGTCTTATTTACACATAACAGATTTAGATAAATATTTTTAACTTTTTTCTATTGAGAGAAATAAAGTATCTTAAATACACTGAAGTAATTATTTTCTTTCTTTGCAGATATATCTTTGTGGTTTTAGTGGCCGAAAGCTTGATAAACTGAGAAGGCTGATTAATAGTGGAGGTGGAGTTCGTTTTAATCAACTTAATGAAGATGTAACTCATGTTATTGTGGGAGATTATGATGACGAATTGAAGCAGTTTTGGAATAAATCAGCCCACAGGTTTTGTCCATTTTTAGTTCAAAGCAATTATTACTATTGTTTTTTCTTGAAATTGCATATCTGTGCAAGTCTGGGAACTACATGGCAAGTGGGATGATGGTTTTTTATAGCTTAAACTAATACACACGTATTATTTTGTAGGCCTCATGTAGTGGGAGCAAAGTGGTTGCTAGAGTGTTTTAGTAAAGGTTATATGCTTCCTGAAGAACCGTATATCCACGCTAGTTACCAGTCAGTGGAAATTCCAGTTTCAGATCAACCTGAAAGTAAAGTAGCAGTTTTAAAGAGAAAGAACAACAGCTTCTCTAAGAAAGACTTCGCTCCTGATGAAAAACAGGAGCAAGCTGATGAAGACCTGCTCTCTCAGTATGTGAATAACAGCTCCCCAGGAGGTAAGAAGGAATTGATTAGTATTTGCGATTAGTAAGAGTATTTTAGTAGCCTAATACATACATATATGATTTCTGCCAAATTTTCTGGATTTTAAGTTAACCTTTTTCTTAAACTTTTGTTTATAACTTTTTTCTGAGCAGGCAAGGAAGGCCCTAGGGCCCTGAACTCTTTTTTTTTTTTTTTTTTTTTTGTAGAGATAGAGTCTCACTCTATCACCCTAGGTAGAGTGCCATGGCGTCACACAGCTCACAGGAACCTCCAACTAACTCCTGGGCTTAGGTGATTCTCTTGCCTCCCGAGTAGCTGGGACGACAAGCACCCACCACAACGCCTGGCTATTTTTTTGTTGCAGTTTGGCCGGGGCCGGGTTGAACCTACCACCCTTGGTGTATGGGGCCAGTGCCCTACCCACTGAGCCACAGGCTCTGCCTGGCCCTGAACTCTTGATTTACCCCTGCCTCATTTATTCAGCTAACTGGCTCCATTTTGACCTGTCACATAATGCAGACATTGCTTGCTTTTCATGTGAGTTTATAATAGCGTGAGCTTTTTATTTAAACCTTCTGACAGATGCCTCTTACAGGATTATTGGGGTCTTTAATGTATATAGCATGAACTGAGAGTATCACCTCAGCATGTAGTCATAAAGTGTAGTAAAATAAATTGTCAGTGAAGAGTTATAAACAGTATTCTCTAATATATAATGAGATATTTAATATATCCAAAAAGACACAAAGAATAATATGATGTGTAACAATGTACTACTATCTAGCTATAAAAAGTAGAATGTTATCCCTATGCCAAAACCCTCCTGTGAATCCCTCTCCCATTTTTTTTGATAGTTTACTTCATATGTATATATCTGTAAACAGTATACGCTTTGTTTCATTTTGTGTGTATTTTAACTTCTGTAAATGATATATGGTATGTATTTTTTGCTACCATCTGTTTCCACCGTGAAAGATTATCTTCTAATCCTAGCAGCTAGTAGAAAATATACTACATGACTCTGTGAATATTTATCAGTTTATCTTTTTTCTCATGAATAGACACTTTTCTTAAGTTCCTCTTTTGCCATTACAAACAGTACAGCTGAAATTATTCTTTTTTTTTTTTTTTTTTCTGAGACCAAGTTTCACTTTGTCACACTCAGTAGAATACTGTGGCATCATAGCTCACAGCAACCTCAAACTCTTGGGCTCAAGTGATTCTCTTGCATCAGCCTCCCAAGGAGCTGGGACTACAGGCTCCCACCACAATGCCTAGCTATTTTTAGAGATGAGGTCTCCCTCTGGCTCAGGCTGGTCTCGAACCTGTGAGGTTAGGCAATCCACCCGCCTTGGCTTCCCAGAGTGCTGGGATTATGGGCATGAGCATCTGCCCTGAGATTATTCAGCACAGAAACTAAGTAGAAATAGAAATCAGCATAGAAACTTAAGTAGCTCTAATTTTATTTTATTTTATTATTTTATTTTTAATTAAATCATAGCTGTGTACATTAATGCAATCATGGGGTACAATGTGCTGGTTTTTTATACAATTTGGAATATTTTCATCAAGTAGCTCTAATTTTAATATAATACATTTTAGGAATTTCAAAATAGAAGTAATTAGAATTCTCTTACTGGGCAGTGCCTATGGCTCATTGGGTAGGGCACCAGCTCCATATACCAAGGGTGGCGGGTTTGAACCTGGCCCCAAACTGCAGCAAAAAAATAGCTGGGCCTTGTCACAAGTGCCTGTAGTCCCAGCTGTTCCGGAAGCTGAGGCAAGAGAATCGCTTAAGCCCCAGGGCCAGAGGTTGCTATGAGCGGTGACGCCATGGCACTCTACCATGGGCGATAGAGAGAATTCTCTTACTACATTTACAGTTATTTCATATTAAGGGCCTGACAGTTATAGCACTTAGGCCTGTTAATTGTCTTTTTTTCTTACTGATTTTTTAAAATTCTATTGTGAGTTATCTAAACCAGTTTTAAGACTAAAACAGCCCTATTGGAGCTTCACAATTTTTAGCTTATTCATGTTTGTCATATACTAAGGATACTTAGAACTTACATGATTGCTCTTGTCCTTCCAAATGACAAATGGAAGATGGTAATTCTGATAATACTCTCCTGGTAGCTCAGAAGATGGGGTGGATTTACCTCTCTTTTTCATTGGGTGTTTAAGCCTTGGTTTTGTAAGTATGGTCAGAATTCTCCTAATCCATGTTACATTGATATCCTTGCTAAGAAATACACTTTTTAACTATAAGATAAACTATCTGTTAGAAATCATTTCTTTTTCTCTTTCAGTTGAAGCTGAGAAGTCTGCAGTTGGGGCCTTTGATGATTCTACTCATGTTGAGCCCTTTAATGGTTCTACTCACATTTCTTTACAAGAAGAAAACCAGTCTTCTGTCAGTCATTGTCTCCCTGATGTTTCTACAATTACCGAAGAAGGCTTATTTAGCCAAAAAAGTTTCCTTATTTTGGGTTTTACTAATGAAAATAAATCTAATATTATAAGTGTCATAAAACAGCATGCTGGAAAAATCATATCCCTTCCGAGCAGATCTGTTGCTGATTATGCTGTGGTTCCCCTGCTGGGGTACGAAGTAGAAGCAACTGTGGGAGAAGTTGTTACAAACACATGGCTGGTATGTAAACACTGTAGCAGTTGAAATATAGTATTGAAGGATGTCTGAATTCCAGGAGCGTTAATGGGTTTTTTTGTAGACAGTTCAGTTTAGGTAAATTGGTGTTTAGATTTGAGCACTAATTTTGCTTTTAGGAAGGAGAATTCTAAAATATGAAAATGTATAAGCTTCTTGGTCCTCTTCCTGGTGGAGTAAAGGTTACTATTTCCCAGGGCCCACATCAGCAACATTCATTCTTAGGAGTTTACTCCAAGTCATCTCATGCCATTTGTCTTTCCAATTTTTTAAATTTCAAGAGTTAAGAGAAAAAATTATAAACTAATTCACTGGAAGAATTGAAATTTAAAGCAATGTTCAATAATTCCAATGATAAATATTCCAGATTTTAATATTCTAATGTAATGAATTGATGTATACGTATTTCTTTCAATATCATAATTTGAAATACATTAAGAATGAGCATACATAAGTTTGTATTAAAGAAAATTTCGGCTCAGTGCCCATAGCACAGTAGTTATAGCGCCAGCCACATACACTCAGGCTGGTGGGTTCAAACCCAGCCAGGCCAGCTAAACAACAACAACAACTGCAACAAAAAAGTCGCTGGGCATTGTGGTGGGTGCCTGTAGTCCCAGCTGCTTAGGAGGCTGAGGCAAGAGAATCACTTGAGCCCAAGAGTTTGAGGTTGCTGTGAGCTGTGATGCCACGGCACTCTAGCCAGGGTGACATAGTGAGACTGTCTCAAAAAAAAATAAATAAATAAAGTAAAATTTTTTTCATTGAAATGAAAATTATTCTGTAACTCAACCATTGTTAACTGGTAGTTTATTTCAGGTTGGTTTTATTGTTTCTCTTGTTTTAAAAAGGTTACTTGTATAGACTATCAGACTTTAATGGATCCAAAGTCAAATCCTCTCTTCAAACCAGTCTCAGTAATGACAGGAATGACTCCTTTAGAAGATTGTGTTATTTCCTTCAGCCAGTGCGCTGGAGCAGAAAAAGAGTCTTTGACATTCTTAGCAAATCTCCTTGGAGCAAGGTATGTCATATTTTTGTTGTATGTGCTGTTCTTGGTAAACTTTTTTATTTGTTTCAACTTACTAGAAAGCATTCAAATTAGAATATATGGTTACTGTGTCTTTTTTATATTTATGGGTGGTGTGTAGTATATCTTTGTGATAGCTCAAGGTGGCAGAGGGGAAGGCGCTATTAGATAGATGCCTGACAAACTACAGGCGTTGATGTTTTATTGGATAAGCTACCAGGAAAGGGAATACTTACTAATTAATTAATTTATTTTCTTTCTTT